GGGGGGGGCAGGGCCAGTGCTGCTGGCCTTGCACCCCAGCTCCAGCCCCTGTCCCTGCTGTCATGGCAGTGCTCTGCCATGTGTGTATGTGGAGGGAGTGAAGCCAGTGCTGCGCAGCCATCACCCCACTCCACAGCCACCTCCCAGGAGCAGGGCCAGAAGTTGGGGGGGGACGGGACGAAGGCCAGTGCTGCTGGCCTCTCCCCCTGCTTCATCCCCTCTGTCATGGCAGCACTCCAGTCCCTGCCATCCCTCTCTGCCTCCAAGGAGCAGGGCTGGGCAGGGAAGGGGGGCAAGGTCAGCACTGCTGGCCTCACCCACCACTCTGTCCACTCTGTCACCACTCATGTGACCCCCCTGAGATTGGCCCTTGCCAGCTAGGGAGTGGGGGGCGATGGCCGGTTTCCCCCCAAGAATGTGGGGGCACTGAGAGAAGTGCCAGCAGCACTTCCAGGTTTGTTGCTGGTGCCCCCCCCAGGATCAGAAGGCACCACTCACCCATGGTTTCAGACAACCAATCAGAGTGTGAATAAAGCATTACGGACAGACAGCCAGACTAAGGCTTTTATATAGAGAGAGAATTAAAGAAGGGAGGCTGCACACAGGTCTTAGACTAAGCCCTAGTCAATTGCGATCAGTGAATTCCCTCTCTCTCTGACTCCATTGGTCACAACAGTCTCTCCTGTTAAGTGGGTCCTCCTGGCCTGCATGTGTCCCCAAGGCACCAGTCACCTTATGGAATAATCAGAGCTGCTGTATCTCCCCTACAGCTGTGTCCATGCTTTGCAGATGTCATTTTTTTATCATTCCTTTTGTCAGAGCCTTGGCCTTCTCAGCCTCTGCCTTTTTTCCCTAGATGGGCCTTCTAGCCTGGGCTCACTGTACTGGACCTGGCTTCTAGCCACCAGCTGTTACATGGGTCACTTTAATTCTGGGCTCCCTGTCCCTATTTTAGCCCTGCTTTGGCTGTCTGGATCCTCTGACCCCAAGCTCTGCTCTTCTCTGGGCTCTCTGCCCTTGTCTTGGGCTCCAGATCCTCTGGCCCCAGGTTCTACCTCTCTTGGTTCTCTCCCCTTCTCAGGCTCACCCTTGCTGCCAGGTCTTTGACTACACCTTGAATCCGACTCCTGGCAGTATTCAAGGCAGTCACTAGGGCTGTGTGAAGCTTCAGTTTGTGATTCGATTCAGAGAAGATTTGGCCTGATTCAGAGGCTGAATCTTTGAATCCAAATGGAATCGCTCGAAACTTAAAACTTTCTGAATCAATTTGGAAAAGATTCGGAAGAGATTTGGTGATTCAGAAGACAGTCCTTGAGGGGAAACAGAAACATAGAAGAGGGAGGGGGAACGGAGAGGGGAAGGGGAGCGGGGGGCACGGGGGAGGACTGACATCTCTAGCTGGCCAGTGGCTGTGATTTCTCCCTGATTCCCCTTCTAATCACAGTATCTGGGGGAGGGACATAGAAACAGTATAAAATCCTCTGTCTGCAGGCTTTCTGTGCCTTTTGTGAGCTGGTTCTGAGCAACAGTGTCAGAAAGGTACTGGACTGGCTTGGCTTCCTAGTCAGTCGCCTGCTCCTTTTTGTTCTTAGAAAGGATTGGATAGCATATAGCTTAGCTTAGCTTAGAATCTCTCTACTTTACTTATCCAATTCGTTTCTTTCAATTTATATTTGTTCTCTTTTCTTTTTCAATACTATTATAAAAGAAAGCTCAGTGTTTTCCCTGGCAGTGTGATCCATCACTGTGCAGGGAAGCACACATTAAACAC